AAAAAGGAAAGCAAAGTTCTCAGGCTCCTAGTTCCTCGTTTCAGCTGAATATCACATGGAGAATTTTATGTTTAAGCACCATCTCAATCATTTTGGTCTTAAATCTCTTTCAAATATTTATCAGTATAGAAGTAGACAGCGATTTTCAAAATTTGGCCCTTAATTCACTATAACTTATTTTCTATCCTGGTGTTTGCAAAAGCACTACACTGGGTGACTAGGCACTCAGTGCCATCAGGTGATGACTTCAGTCCTTCAGAAAGCAGAATCTTGCATTGCCATTTAAGAAGCTAACAGCGAAATGCAGAGCCAGAAATTCCATTTAAATTTTTGAAAAATCCTGAAGGTCTAATCCTGAAATGCAGCACGTACCAGATGTATTGAAAGCTTTGCTGTAAGGTTGTGATGTAGACTGGGAGGATTCCGATGGGGTAATTCCAGGGGATGTTGGTGGAGTGGTCATACCACAAACTGCAGAAGGGCTCCAGATGGTGACCTATGTAAAAAGCAATACCCAACAAGCACAGATCAGTGAAGCTCATGTAAGGGACATCCATACTGTAAAACATCTGTATGCAGGTTCTGACACAGGGAACCAAACGAGTATTAAAGCTGAAATATACTTTAAATCCTGATGGATTCACAGTACTTTTACGAAAGATACATTTCTGAGACTGTCACAAGTAGCTAAGAGGAAGGTGCAAACATGCCTCCATGCCTGCTGCACCCTGTGTTCTGTGTTACCTGCTGTGGCTCAGCTGACAGCCGCATTGACTGTGGGCTCAGGATCTGAGGTAGCTGCCCTGGCATTTGCGATAGTGTTAGCCGAGGAGTGGAATAAGGGGTAGAAGTTCCTGCAAGTTAAGAAAGTGTTCTATGTCAAATACAAATATCTATGACCCTCCCGACTAGCATTAAAGTTTTATAAAGTCAATACAAATGCATCCAATGTACACATTCACAGACAACAAGCAACAAAAGACTTTTCTTGTAACCCAAGAAAGTATCTACTGAACATATTACAGACTACAGCTTGAGATGGGGGAGGGAAGAGAGAGAGAATCTTGAGGCAGCAACAGGGAAAGATTTTGCCAGCCCTCTGCATGACCAGAGCACATGTGGGTTTTTTAAGAATCAAAATCTATTTGCTGGTGTATAAGAACTGGACTTTCAGTCACATAAACTAGTAAGATGCCTACTGCTAATCGAACCCGTTTTCTTCCACGAAATCAGTATTTATTAGGTGTCAGGCAGGTCTTACCATAGCTGCTCTGTGTGTCAATGTAATGCCTGGCACCAGGGTCAGTTTGATGATGCTTTAAGCTTGTGCAGAGTTTCCGAGACACAGAGTAGTAGCCATCTTCATATGATGCTTCTGCAGGGTCCAGGGATATTTTGGCACATTCTATCACAACATCATGAGTTTCTAGTCTTTTCCACCTGCAGACAGTTTTTGGATCCAAAAGAGTAAGTTAGTCAATTAGGGTCACAAACAAAGGTTCCTGGAGATATCAGGAATTGGCTTGTAGGATGGCTCTTTTGTTCCAGTCAGCTTTGCATGCTCCCAGCCAAAACTGGAACAAGGCACCACACAGAAATTGCAACTAGATGACTTGTAAGAGGGGGGTCTCCGACTTGGAGACAAACAGCTGTGACACAGAGATCCACAAGGGTCTGCCATGGAGCAGTCTGGAAAGGAGGAACAGCATACGAAGACTTGGTAGATCCTGAGCTTCCATGGCTGTAGAAAGCAGCTCAACTAGACTCAGATGTTGGTTGTCAAAATTTAGACAGGCCAGCAGTGACGGATCTTACATTACTTAAGCAATCACCATCTACAATACCAGTTTCAGGTCTGTATTTTTTTGCCCCTCAAGTTTGGGGAATGGTTGCATATTCTCATTTCTTTCATTCTGAAAACCTTTTCTCACTAAATTTAGCATCCAAATCTGACCGATATATGAGTGGATGGAAGTTCACTGCAAAGAAAAGAAAGTACAGAAGGCTGTCTAGTAAGAGCAGAGTCCCTTTGGAATGTAAGGTATTTTGCGCAGGACACCAACTCAAGAAGCATCAAGTGATAGTTTAGTGCTAATTGTACTCCTCAGTGGTACTGCCCTCCTCCCATTCCCCTTTCTCCCTGTCTGAAGAAGCCTGCAAAACTGATAATTGTGAGAATCAATAGGTTCCCATTTAGTAGTGTTTTCCTAGTGGCTCTGAAAAGCAGGGCAAGAGCACTAGTGTGCAGGAACAAGAGTCAAATTCTCCTCTTCTGTGGCTGGGCCTGTGGAGACAAGAGAAAAGCAGCAAGTGGTGCTGCTGCAGGCAAATGAGCCTATTTCTAAAGAAAACTAATACAGTTGATAATGTTAAGACATACCTGTTAAAAGAATTGATCTGTTAACTGAACCAATATCTAGGTACCAAAACAAACACACTGAAGCCATTTGATGCATTTAAAACCCACCAAGTACTTCAACAAACCACAGAATAGAACACGACCCAAGTCTCAAGCCAAAAAAAGCACATCAAGGGAAGTTTCTTTACACTTATTTATAAGCATTTTTTTCAGGGGGAGAGGGGAACTTTCAGGCTTGATCATTATGTAATAATAATAAAAATAAAAAAAAAAAACACAAAGTAAACTGTACAGAGTAGACATTCTATACCAGACAAAAAATAATTTAGAGCCCCAACACTGCTGTTAACGACCTATCACAACAGTGTTTGCTTATTCATGCCAGCTGTAAGCCTGGATGATGAAATTCTGTATGTTTACCTGGTTACCTATGGATATATATGGCAAAACACCACAGGCACACACTGTTGTTGACAAACAAGTTTTTGCTGGAAGCCTGCCGAAATAACCCAGCTAAATCTGCTTATAAACTAAAAACAACTAAAAGCTGCTCATAATAGCAGAGCGAACATATATACCTTCGTGGGTCCAGTTCATGGTCCTTAGATCCAGTCACTAATTCTGGATGAATTCGCACATGTTCCATCATTGGCTGGATAAGCAAGACAAAAAAAAAAAGAAGATGCATTATCAATACAACATTTTCTGATTACAGTAAACTACACAAAGCTGAATGGCATCCTATTAATCTAAATTCGTCAGAATCTTAGATTTAACATAAAACTAACAACTCATTTGCTTCCAAGGGAGATTTCTCTTCTCCAACAGCATGTTTTGATTTTCTTTTATTGAGCAGCCCTCAGTTAAATCATTGCAGTGTATTAATTTGGTAGAAAACTGCCTTTTTATAGCTATGAAATCCTTGTCTCACATAACAGAGATAAACAGCATCTTACCTTGACGACCTCTTCAAAGGTCTCCAAGTTTTCCTTCATACTATAGTGAGAGCGCAGAAAGGAGACAAAATTGCACGGGTACATTCCATAAAGACGATGAAAGAGAGCATAAACACTGGCATGAAGATGGACAAGATAAATTTCTGCCACATGACCTGGAAAAAATAGTTGCAATCTTTTTTTATTACATCAGAGAAAAGAAGAAAACTTTCAAGAATGTAAGCAAAGAGCTTTTACATTTGAAATACTAAATGAAACAAGTCTCCAGAGACAAGAATAGTTGCTAACAAAGCCATACGGGGCTCTCTGAGAAGGAGCAAGACAGAGTTTGCAAGACTGAATGATTTAAAAACAGTAAGAATCCAAATTAAGTTGCTTCACTTCAAAGATAAAAACTAAAAGCTCATCTCCACAAAAACAATCACAATAGATTTGAATAGACTCTCGTTAGCTGTTTTTCTGTCCTGTCGGATACAATCTTATTTCGCAGTGGCAAATGGCCCTTGAAGTAGCATCTTTCCTTGCTTAACATAGTGTTGCTTCATGCAACCATATGACACTGAGAACAAGTCTAGCGAAACCAACTCATCAGAACCCGTTAGAATTGAAAAGACTGCTAAGCTGTGCTGTGTTTACCAGCACTTTCATGACTATTGATAATCACACATCAAAAGAAACTCTTCCATGTTCTTTCTGCCCCCTCCCCATTCATACCTGGGAATCACAACTTCCCTAATACCTGCTCAAATACTGAAATCTCACCTGAATTTTGCAAGCACCAGGCTGAGAGGCGGCCAAAGATACCAAAGAAATCATGAAGATATTGTTTGCCAGACTGAGGAATCATTGGCAACATGGTTATTAGCACTAGGACACCTGTGGTGAGTACTACTACATCTGTGTCAGTCTGCAAGAAGGGAAAACAACTGCATTAGTTAAATAGTTGAATTATTCTTTCCAAGGGTGAAGTGAGCACTGCATCACCCTCAGAAAAAACTCTGCTTCGAAAGAGCCCTTCCTAAGCCAGGCATACGTTAATGAACCATGATTCCTGTCTCTTACACCTAGACTAAACCTAAGAAAGATGCTACTATTCTGTTATTTAACTACTGCTTTTCTGTATAAAGAAGTGACTTAAAAAGGAAACATTACCCTGGCTCCACAAAGAGTATACATGCATGTATATATATGTCACTGGTATATATATGGCATTTTATATGCTGCCCCTCTCCCCAGAGCTAAGAACACATCGCACTCAGAGGTCAGGAAACCAGATCTCATCAAGGTATTTAAGGATGTTGGCTAATTACTAGTACAAGCATCAAACATCTTCTTTTAAACATGATTTTTAACATGGACATCTAAATGACTGCAGACTTATTTTTGTACAACTTGCAAATGTGTTACCTGTCACAGTAATTTTCAGGATAAACGACTTGCTGTGATTAATAATTACAAAAGCTATATAATTTAATGCTTCACTAAAGTAAGGGCTAGTAGATCTGTGTGAGAGATTGAGGCATGGACAAAAAAACCTTAGTACTGTTGAAATCCTGAGACCAGACATAGGCCCTGCTGCACAGTATGCAAGCGTAAACAGTGCCTGGGTGATGACTCCAGCTGCTAAATACTGCAAAAAGCTCTCATTCAAACAATAGTCACATCCCCGGGACTTGCACTGGAAGAACGTGGTAGTAAAAGTCTTCAGCTAGATGAAACAGTAATGGACACTCAGGTTTTTGGATCGGACACAGAACGTGTTTCCATCTTTTCCTGGACTGGCCCCAAGTTATTTCCCCAGCTCAAGGAGCACTTTCCTCAGGCACTGCTGACAACCGAGGGCTTCCCCTGCTTTGCCAGGAGAGGGGTGTACAGAGCACAGGCAGTCTGTGGTCAGAAGCCACTTAGTCCTTCTCAAGAGCCACTCAGGCTGCTGTGACACATTGCATGTCATGAGTTTTCTTCCTCCAAGCAGTCTACCTCCTCCTTTCACCACACATTTGTGTCCATCTCTGTCCCCCTGAATACATCTCTATTCCACTCCTACCAACTTCCTCACATACTTCACTCCTCTCACACTTGGAACCACTGAAGAGGGCAACAGAAACTTGTCACGCTAGTCAAGACTTCCCATGACAGCACTAGTAGTTTTTTCTTTGACAGTTGGGAATTCCTGTGTTTTTGTTTTAAAGAACATTGGCACACAACTAGGTCATGCATTTTAATGTGACTTATATGACTGATATTAATTCTTGACTATCACATCAAATGATAGGACTGACAATACACCCTAGGTCTCGAAACACTTTCTACGTTTAATCACTCTTTTAATACCCACATTTGTATAGCATGGGGACAAAACTGCAAGGGGAAAACCGAAGCATGTGGAGAAACCACTTCCTTGTACTCTAGTGAGCTGGCAAGAAAGAAGGAAAATTTAGAAAGTTCCCTAACTAAATTTCTCTAACTCAAAGTTATACAGTGACAGAGATCTTTAGCTGATGTGACTGTCAGTAGCAACAGGATTGACACCAACTAGTAGACATGACTCCAGACCATCTCAGTAGAAAGGGAGAACATTTCTTTTCCTGGAACTTAACCAAATGACACCAACAGAGAACACAAATGCCTTGGGCTGCAAGTATGTTTATTTACCTCTCGTGCACAATATTTTACAGACAATACTGACAGTTCTTACCTTGAGACACTTAAGTAATGACAGAAGGAGAGGTGCTTGAGAAAGTTTATGTTTCCAAGACGGCTGTCGTCTTATCACATGGCCCAGGAGAGAGAGTGTGGGTAACCGCGTAGCAGCTTTGCCCATGTATTCATTAATTTTGTCCAGTAGGTGCTGAAACCCGATTTTGTGGTGAGCAGTAGAAGGAAAAATGATTTTGTATTTAGCCGGTGTATGTTTTTTCATCAGCCTCTATATTCTGCAGTTTGCTATTGTCATTTATGGAAATGATGAGTATTTTACAAACATACAGGATCCAGGACAAAGAAAACCCAACAACAAATTCACCCAACCCCTAAGTTCTTTTAGGCTAGATGGAACAAGCAGAAGTTACACTGCAAATAGGCAGCATTAAATATTTAAGTAAAACCCTCATCCTCCAAGTTCTACTTTGGAATTTTTTTCATTTAACTGGGCCAGTTTAAAGAACACATAAAACAAAGTCTCTTTTCTGAAGCTGTTCTGTTTCCCCCTTAAAACTATTCACACTACAGAGATACTCCAACTCTACAACAGGGTAATTCTATATGAGAATGGAAAAGCAGACTTCTAACTGATGCTATTTAAAGCCTTCTTTAATACCAGTCTAACAACTGCCAATCAGCCATACTTGATATCAAGATTGTTTTACCTTGTCATGAGGCTCCTGCAGCGTGGACAGTATATGCAGTGCCTGCTGAGAATTGGTTTCCAAGTAATAGTCTACCAGGTTGTTCACAAGCATGGGCCCACGGTCTGTCCGTTTGTTTAGAGCAAGAAAAGAAAAAAAAAAAGTACATTTTCAATACATTAAAAATTAATTCCTCATTATAGGGATGCTGCACAATATTTTAACCATTAATATGTAATTTATAATAGGAACTAGTACTTAAGTGTTACCAGACCTTTAAGAAAATGATACCTCTCAACTACACTCTCCAGAGTAACTATTCAAGCAACTGTATTCAGCTCACTGTAGGCAGGTAATTATATTATTTAATGACTTACAATTACTGTGGCACTGTTTAACCTTAAATACCTTGAGTTGTCCAAACTGCATGAGTATTTTACCAAAGACAGGCACAGAGTTCTGGAAAAACTTGACATTATCTCCCTTCAACAGAAAAAATGGAGAACTATTTCAGACCTTAGGGAAAGTAACACTGCGCTCACCCTCTGAAAAAGTTCCAGGAACGTAAGGGACAACTTAATAGCAGAAAGCATTTTTTTTTTCTCAAGAAAATTCATATCTGATGCTTTGTTTGGGGGGCTGGTGGATTTTTTTTTTTTTTTTAGTGAGCAAAATACTACCAGTTTCCATGAACTGGAAACCAAGTTCTTTTTAAATACATTTAACGAAGTACATTTCATCATCTCATAACCTAAGGTTATGCCACAGGAAAATCCAGTGATTTTATAATAACATTTTAAGAGTTATATAACAGAGCTTCCAAGAGGTGTGCTATTAAGGAAGGTGGCAGAAGAGAAGCTTCAATCCTTAAAGCAATTTGAATCCCGAATGTTAAGAGTTTCTTTCAAGTCACATTTGCAAAAGAGTACATTTCATAGAAAAAGAGATATTCTGTCTTTATTGGAAGCAAAACCCTTCCTCCAGTTGTGTATGAGGATACATACCACAAATGAGATTATCTTTGAATGCAGCTGTTATATCTTCCAGAACACCCAGAATAGGAGAATCCAGCATGGAGAGGAGCTCACCAACGTTTGCTTGCTGTGCCATGATGCAGGTACTAACATGAATGTGGAGGTTAAAATTTCAGGAAGTTCTTCATTGGTGCCTCTACCAGACTAGAAGATAAGAAGAGATTAATGAGTTTTCCTTTCCATCTTAAATCTCTCATCACTTCCCTATTTCTTTTCTCCACTATGATCCACTTAATAGCTTCATACTGAAAGGATTGCTAGAGTTTACACACCTGCAATAAAAGCTACATGAGAAAAGTTTTCAACTTTTCTTTTTAATTCCAAAATCTGTTTTATGGAAAATCCTGGCTAACAACACACCTACGTGGTGACTATCAGAGCATTTTGGTGCCACATTCCTTTAATTTGCACAGTGGTCTACACTTAGGAAACAATCTGCCTTCTCAAGATTCTTTACCACTCCTGTGGCTAGATGAGCAATAAGGAATTAATTGCCCTCTATTTTACATTATTACATACTATTAGGTTTGTGCTTAAATACTTGCATTGGAGCTAAGTTGCAACCGTTAAGAAACTGAGTTAGGGCAACTACAGCTGCTGTTGCTTGGCCACTCTGTGCATAGTAACTAAAATCACAAGCTTAGCAGCACAATATGCCATGTTTTCACCATTTTTGCATTATATATTAAAAAACCCACAGTGCAAAAATTGTACAGATTATTAAAAGCAACAGTGTGAAGAAAACACAACTCTAGACAGCTTCACAGTACTACGCAAAACTAAATTTAAATCCCTTCAGGCTTTTAAGATGGCTTCCTCACATGCAGCAGCAGGGAAAGACTGAGGTATGAGCCCTAACTACCACAAAATGAATCGAGTCTTGCCCTGTTAATAAGCAACATCAGTGGAGCCTTTCCCAGGGGCAGAAAGAATTTGGCTTCACATCATGTCTATTCTTACTAGCGAGGGTTTCTTCTTTCCTCTTCCTCCCAGCTAGTGCACATTTTTTGCTTCCCTTATGGAAGGCAGGATTTGCACCTAGCAAGTTTACACGCAAGGGATCTTTTTACTGCATTTGTGTATACAGCACCTGTTCCGTGGATGAGCTGAGCTTCTGACTCCAATGCTATCAACCACACACCGTTCATGATCGCTACATTAAAGAAAAAAAGAAAAGCATTAACAGGTTAACAAAAGCTACAATCTCTTTACTCCTCATTAAACCTTAAAAATTTTAAGCAGGGTGAAGTCCTTCACTAAAGATAGCAGAGGTTTTTACCTTCTGCACAAGTAAAGTCAACCTGTAGTTTGAATTACACCTACAAGTGCTGCGTGGTTGCCTTTTTCCTACTAAATCCTGAGCCTAGTTTAACTCTGCTGAAAGGAAAATCCAGACAGGGTAAGGATACTTGGACTCATTTGCTATCTCAAATGAGCAGAAAATAAAAACTACATATAACCCTGGAGAAAAGGCTTTGAAATTCAGCTTTAGTTGCTGGAAGCATTAGCAGAATTATGGAGTCATTTTGAATACTTTTAAGTTGACAATCTCTAAAGAGGAAAGAACAGTAAACTCCAGCTTTACCTGCCTCATGCATCCTGAAACAGCTACAAAAAGAACGTGTCTTCTGACTCTATTCAGCACAGCACTACACGTTAGCTGAGAACATTAGTGTTCTGTTTTAGATCATAAGCTGTAATTACTTATATACATATTATTTTCATGAAAATTTAAGTTCAAAATTGTTATTGGACTGGAACTTAACCTGCCTACTAGTGAACTTTGTCTTAAACAACGTATCATTTCAGTAGCCACAGGACTGCTCAAAACCACCTCTCTTAGGGCCACACTCGTCTATCAGTTTACTTAATTTGGCACCGATTTCAAATTCAAAGGTGACAATGTGGTACCACACTTGCAGGAGGCATTTCCTTAGCCTCATCACAGTTCCAGGACACAACTACGGCCTTTAAGTTTGTCTGAATACAAATTTACTGCATTTACAAGCAGCTAGCAGAGACTGCTAATCAAAGCGCTTCAGATATAAATGCCATTTCTTTTCACATCACATGGCAAAGATGTTAAAAACTGAAGATAAGAACTGGCTGGTACTGTGAGCCATACTTTGAATTAAAGACAAAAAAGGAAAACTTTGGGAGGGGAGGTGAAAAGGATGCTTTTTCCCCCCCTCAAACTCTGAATTCAAATTCTTCCTCAAAGAGCTTACAATTTAGAAGGCAAGTAGGATTCAGAGCAACATCAACCTTTCACAAAGACTAGAAGCCATCCTTGGTGTGACCTAGAGAGCCAACCTTTCCCTTCATTTCCCATTTTCAGGAGACAACTGTCCTGCTAAGTGTCTATAGTTTACTCGGTTACATTACATTGAGATACCCACTATTCAGACAGGGCACGTGGTGACAGAACTACATGCAGGAAAAGCTGGTTTCCTACAAATTATGTCTATTCCTTCATTTCTGAGAACAGCACTTCTGGGGCTGCGAAGGGTTTGTTAAAGCAGACGTTTCTCCATTTCCAGCAGGATATGCTCTCAGCTCTGGTTAGGCAATAGATTCACCAGCTTCTCAGGAAAACGAATTCCTTGTTTAAAGCTCATTAACAGGAGCTGCGGGACCACACCCCCCACCCCAGCTGCAAGCAAAACCTGTTTTGGGAATTAAAGCAGCATTAACACTAATCTCTGCTTTTTTACCCCATCAAGACCCTGTCCAGCCTATTTTCTCCAACATAATATTCAAAACTCATTCTGCTATTAGAGGAATTTCAACATCCATGCAGCCATATTTGGATCTGACAGGACTAAAATAAAAAATAGCTTTTTGATAATATTTGCTACACTGATTCTTCAGCAGCATTTTCAGTGAAGTTCTATACAAGAGATCCAAGGCTCTAGATAGCAAAGTGTGAAAGACTCTGTTTCTCTACCTTTTAAACCATTTTTGGGCCCCTCTGAAGATACAAACACCATTACCAAAATTCTTATTCTACTCAAAAGTTTCCACAAACACAAACTTTGATAAAAGTATTAGTGTGAATCGAGACAATTGGAAAGCCAGCTTACAGGAGAGAATGAAGCCGCCAACAAGCTGGAAAGCAATTTGTTTTAAAACAAATTTGGTAGCTTTTTGATAGCTAAGTTAATCACAACAAAATACAGTTAAGCTACAAGGTTAAACAGAGAAAGAAATAACAAGGTCTCTCCAAAGATTATGGCTTCTGTTAGTATTTTTGTCAAGGAAGATGTTCTTCTGTTCAGTGTATTTTTATCCCAAGCCAAATAAAAAAGCAGCTGGTAGTGCCAGTTATGCTTCCCCGTGGGGCGGGGAGGAGGGGGACACACTCAACACACGCACGTTCTCCTCCCGTAGCCTCCTCACCATTTACCCCCAAAAAGTGAAAATCCAGACACCAGAAACACTCTTTTTTTTTTGCAAAGGGAGGGTAACAACATCAGCATTTCATCCCACTTCCTAACCTTAAATTTGGGACATGCCACTGAATTGCTATTCCCTCTTGGCACCAAAAAAGGGGAGCTCAAGAATACAAAGTCACTCGTGGTGTCCTGGAAGCTTCCCGGTAAGCAGCCAGGCCCAAGAACAAAGCGAGGTCAAACCTCCAGACTTGCACTTTTCCACCCAATTTCTACTGCTGGAATAGTAGGGACAACGGCTTTGCCAGAAGCCTGGAATGAGGACGGAAGTGGTTTGTACTCATCACTAGTTTAAGACAAAAAGATCAGATCGATGAGAAAACAGCCTCTCCCACTCAAAACTCGAAGGCTCCGTAGCCACAGTAGGACCAGGCTTGGGCCATCCTCTCAGACATCCGGGTTTCCAAGCTTGCTGCACAGTTCCTAACAACACTCGGTTTTATATTTTCTTCACAAATAAACTAAACACTTCCATAACAGAAGTGACAGCACCTATAAAAATAAGCAATGGATGAAAAATGACAGTAGGAGGACACAACTGAGGTGACAACTTTAAAAAAAAAAAAAAAACTCAGCTTCTTCCTAATGCAAGAGTCTGCTTTTCAAATGAACCGGCCTCTTCTAGCAGTCCCTGCTCCTCTGCTTCTTTCAGACCTGATACAAGACCCCATTCCTAAACGTTGTAATTATCTCATGAGCTACGACTCTTGTTTGTCAGTATATTGACACTCACCTGCTTTGTTGCAGGTGCTTAACTGAAGCAGGAAGAAAAAGAAAAAAGTCATATTCAGTAATTTTTAAGATGCATTTGCAACTGCTGTGCCAAGGGACTATGCCGATTAGTATCATCAAATTTCTGACAGAGGGTAAAATTTAAAATTTAAAATTTAAAATTTAAAGTGTATCAGAAAAGAAGAAAATAGCTGACACTAAGCCTTTTGGCAGAAGCCAGGCTAACAACCCACTTGCTAATTCAAAACAGAATTATTTCAGCTCTTAATACACAATTAAATATATTAAAATGAATAAATAAGAACACTCTATTTTTTCTACGCCAATCTAATTAAAGAGCACATGAACAAAATAAGTTTAACAACAGAATCTTTTTAGAACTACTACTAAAGAGGTAAGCAGAGAATCCAAGATTTCACAATAAGGCAGTCAGGGAGACTCCTAAATCTCTGGATCAGTTATTTTCCACCAGCAGAACTCCATAAACATGTTCGCAGACTTAGGCTGCAATTCAGTACATCTTGAAATCACTGCAAACGACTTATCGTGCTCACCCTAAGCATTTTAACTACTCCAAGAATGAAAGCAGGCATTAAGCAGAACACAGAACTATATTAAATGCTGTCAAGCTTTTTAATTAAAAACAAAACTGAACAATACCCAGGAAAACTACAGCAGGCTAGAGATTCTAGAATTCTGCTCTGCATCTTAATGTGCCCCCAAAAGAAATTCTTATGTTATCAGCCCAAATATCATGATTACTGTGTCCCCATCACGTTGAACTACATGAAAACACAGCAGCTACAACCTAGATGAAGAGATGGTAACATTATCAGCCTGTATGGGAGCTAACCAGGCGCTGTTCGATGGTGGCAGGACTGCTGGGGCCGCCCAGCACCACGACCCTGAACTTGGCCAGCATTCGTCTGCCAACTAGAAAGAGTCACCGAAGCCAAGAGTTTGCTCAAAACACCTCCAGCTGGACAGTGCATCTCATACGGAAGCCCTTTAATAATGCTGCCCTTTGTTAGCCACTGTAAAAGTTAACTCGAGTGATTAAGAATCAAGTACCTGGCACTGAAAAACAGCCAAAGATAAAATCATTTTAATTAAAGCTTATCACGTGACACAGTAGATGTTCTGACTATATTTTCCTCTGAGTAAGTCGGTGCGGCTCCACATGAAGGCAACTCGTTCCAGGGCTGACTAGGCTGTTAACAACAAAAAAACCCAGGCAAAGGATTTTAAAATTATTTTAGTTTAACGTGGCCAAGATGGGTTTATTAAGCAACATATTGCTGCATAACAAGGTAAAACCAGACAGAGAGGTAGGTACTCTCTGTGCTTACATATATTATCCAATCTGCCCAGGTCTCCAAAGATTTGCTGTCTAATTCTCTGCTGTTCATACCTGTAAACTGTAGAAATCTTTCTCATCTAATAGCATTACCTTAACAGAGCTTTGATTGTGATGAGTTCCTAACAACTTTGCTTCATTAGTTAGCATTAGTAGCTAGAGGATCAGATCAGATAAAGAATCAAAACCTCTTGTATCAGCATCTACTGGAATATTCTCTGAACCCAGTTACAAAAAAAAAAAAAGGCACAAAACTTCACCCCTGTCTGTGCGTGCGTTTCTGTGGGCCTTGAACCATGTTTTCCTTCAAGGCATGTGTTTTTTTACACGTTGCTTTGTAGAAAGCTTGTAAAAGAAAAAGCAAGGAGAGATTCCCTGACTGAGCAGTTATAACAGTAAAGGAGACTACAGACAGTGCTGACAAAGAGCGAGCTGGAGCCGCTCTCCGTCTCCTCGGCTCGGCTCCCAACTTCTCCGGGACACCAGGAAACAGGCGTTTTCGGGCAGGAATAAACATCACCCCACAGCACCGAACCGCCCTGGTGCCCAACCCCGCCGGGGCACGGAGCCCCCTCGGAAAGGGGGCAAGGCTGGAAGCTGCTCTTCAGGGCTCTTCCTATGATCAGTAGGAGGGTAAAGAAGCCACGGGAGCGAACGAGGATAATAATGGAAGAGGGGGAGGTGGGAGGGGTCTCCCCGGGAGGGCAGAGCCGCCAGGGCCCCTCTGGGCGCCAAGGCCGCGGAGGGGGCGCTGGGGCAAGGACCAAGTTCGGGCGGGAGGGGAACGGGAGGCCGTTTGCCGCCACCTCCCTCCCCCCGTTGCCCCCGGCCCCTT